CACACACACACACACACACACACACACACACACACACACACACACACACACACACACACACACACACACACAATCACACACAATCACACAATCACACAAACACACAAACACACAATCACACAATCACACAAACACACGCACAATCACAATCGCAACCACGGGATTACACAATTATACAGCATCACAGTCCTGCAAAATACAAGCACACACATGCAGCTTGTCACCCACAACTGCCTGTATAACACCATTCATGCACAATACATTTCTTTTAGGCAGAATGTGGTGTTGTTATTATAGGCCTTATACCTTGCCTTCCACTTTTATTTTTAGAAAGAACTTGTAATGACAAAAGTTAATCTAAAAGATATCTATATTGATGGTAATGATATTGATAATGATGATGATAATAATAATAATAATGATGATAATAGTAATAGTAATAATAATAATAATAATAATAATAATAATAATAATAATAATAATAATAATAATAATAATAATAATAATAATAATAATAATAATAATAATGATTATGATGATGATGATGATGATGATGAAGATAATGATGATGATAATGATATTGTGATAGTAATGATGATGATGATAATGATAATAATAATGATAATAATAATAATAATAATAAAGATGATGATGATAATAATAATAATAATAATAATAATAATAATAATAATAGTAGAGATGATGATAATAATGATCATGATAATAATAATGATAATAAGGATAATAATAATAATAGCAATGACGATGATGATGATTATATGAATAATGGTGATAATAAATAGATGGCAATGAAATATTCCTCCATGAAGAATTGAAATGCTATTGATAACTTACTTACTATAACTTACTAACAAATGCCTGCAAATTATATAATCTAACAAAAAGTCACCTATCTTCTATGCAACATTTATTAACGGGACTTACAATAACCTAAAATGAGGTTACGGTAGCTAATTAGTAAACATTTATTTCTATAATCTTTATCCTTAACTGTGTCTGTCCCATCTACAGTGTGGGTTTATGTACCTTTATGATATTTCTCTGACTAATTACGTGCTGTTTTTGTAAATGTTATTTGAGTGTGAAATTTATATCTTAATTATGGTTTGCATATCTTGGATCAAGTTGTATTGTCAAAGTACCAAAGTACATATGATTATATATGAGTGAATCATTCTGTATTTAGAATATTAATTTAAATGTTATTTGTTGCATTGAAAAGATAATAAAAGCTTTGATTATAATGCTCTGATTGTGAGTATTTTGGGCCTAACAAGAGCAGTCACTATTATTGTGTAAATTTTTTTTTTCTTTTGGTCTTCCTGTAGCATCATTTCATTATGTACTTTGTAAAAAATGCATTTTTTTCACAAGGGGTATAATGAAAATTTGAAAATGATAATTTCCATTTTATCAGCATATTTCACTTTCCCCTAAAGAAAATTACTGCACTTCTATACATAATGATTATGATTTTAGTTCAGTTTAAATAACTTTTATTCATATTAATCCTCAATATGCTCTCTTTATATTTGGATCATTTAATCAAGATCGCATCTCATTTTGCTATTTATACATCCCTTATACAACTATCATGGAAATGCTCTCATATGCAGTATATATTCTCTAATTTAAGTTTTCATTTTATAAAGGAAAATGTCTCCCAAAGCCTTAAAGACTGGTTTTGTATATTTTTTTACATTTGAAAAATAAAAGCTTTTTCTTAGATTACAAATTACAGCCTCACCTTGCATAAACCAATTCAGGTTTATATATCTGTAACCATTACCATATACAAATCAACTACTTGACATACATTGTACGTTGCCAGCCTTCACTGTACTGTCTTTTTAGTTTTGAACTATGCATTATGTCACTCTTATGCAAATATCTTTTATGTATTTAAGAATGTATTTCCTTTTAAAATGGCATTTAACTTCCTTGTTTTGTGTAGGAACAGCTGCCTTAGCCTATTTATAAAGAAGTTAAGCCAAAATGCAATGATAAAAATTGAATATATTTGTGTGTCAGTTCTAACAAATCATACAATATTAACTGTCTTTGGCTGGCATAGTGATATAAGTCCTTGCAACAGACAACATAAATCTCATTAGCATATGCCAGAAAAGTACTATATGAAATATTTATATATGTAAGAGTATGTGCTTGCTTGTCTATTGATATAACTCTGGAATTTTTCAGTTAGTCTTGTTTGCTGCATATTTGTATATTGGTATCTTTCATTTTTTTTCTTTGCTGATATTTGTATATTAATTACTGCAAGTTGTAATCTGAATGCTTATTTATTCTATAGAATGCTTATTTATTCTATTAAAGCAGTCAAATGCATCACAAATGAAAATTGCTGGTCATGGTTCTGGCTGTCTCATACAAAGCATTACAGGGAAGATATATGTGTTTCATATGGTATGGATTTTTCAAACTAATGTTATTTATTGAACTAACATTTAATGCAGGAGGGGTTATTGCTGTCTGCAAATATTTGTGAAACATATATATGAAATTTTCAAAAATGTCATTTAGTAATGTAATATCTTTATTCATTGGTACTTATATTTCTTTTTGAGAGTGTGGTGAGTTTTCTCTTTTTGAATATTATTACATTTTTTTCCTTTTTTTTGTACTTTCTTCCATGTGCAGCCTTCACTAGTGAGTAAAGTAACGTAATCATCAATTGATTTGTTAGTAAATATTCAGCAATTCCACCATGAATATCATGGCTGTTATACTGTTGTGACTGGTACTTAATTCATTGGTAGTCATTGAATATTAATAAGGTGATAGTCAATTTTATCAAGGTTACTTTGATTCATCTTGATATCTGTGTAAAGGATAAATTTGCTTATTTTAATAGCCAGAAAATGTAATT